CTACGCCACTATGTGGGTGTCGACGGCGATGACAGGTGTGGTATATATATTCGTCGATGCTGCGAGCAGAATTAATATTTATTTAATGGAGCGATAAGATAGAGATCATCTCTGAACACGTGGTTATGAATCAGGTGTATGCCATGTGGGTGCGGTGTGTGTAGAGTCGTTGCAGACACTGGTGTAGCGTCAGTGGGCGTCAAGTCGGTGGCAACCCCCCCCCCCCCCCAATCCCTCCTTCCGCTTGACTGGACACCATTGGTTCAAGCGCAAACACCCAACTTTTAAGAAAGGTTTGATGTAAAAATCTGTCTAATGCATATGGGTATATATTCTATGGATTGCGACGATGGTAATTATGGAATTCCTTTCAATTTCAACCCTGGATTTATTGGTTGCTGCAAGGTTAGGGTCGTTTTTAACGCGTAGGATTTTTGTTTTACTATTCTTATTGTAAATGTAAATGGATATACCTTACTCAGCATTGAGCATTTTAAGATTTGAATGGACTTACAGCATTGGTTGCAAGCTCAAACTCGCCAACTTTTAAGAAGGTTTGATGTAAAATCTGTCTGATGGAAATGGGTATATATTCTATGGATTGCGACAATGGTGATTATGGAATTCCTTTAAATTTCAACCCTGGTTTAATTGGTTGATGCAAGGTTAGGGTCGTTTTAACGCGTACGGAATATTGTTCCTACTATTGTTAATGTAAACAAACAATTACATACCTTACTCAGCATTGGGCATTATAATTTGAACATTTCAAGATTTTTTTTCCTGATATTTTGAACCAAATGAACGCAGGATTCATTTACTTTCTCAACTGCATTCAATCAGCAGATGTATGAGATTTATTGTATTATTACCAACGCTCCTTCTCTCCCCTTTCCTTTTCTTCTCTGCAAGTCACACTCTTTTTTATTTTTATTTTTATTGTTGTATCTAAGTTGAGGGCTGCGGGCACGTCAAGCTACTTTGCTTATTTCTGTAGCCCTCCTACATATAATGTATGTTAATTATGCATTCAATATATTTGTTTAATTTCGTTTATTATCTGTATAAAATTATATACACTTAACATATTGTATCAAACCATAGTATGTTCATGAAAATGTATGATGAAAAAAAAAAAGATGCAGAAACCAATAAATCAAATCAAATAAAAACTATATTTAAACAACGAGTTGAAAGGGGAAGGACAATTTGACACATTTTGTGTGAAAATAAAGTCATAACAATTAAAATTGTTTCCCTGTTGTCAAGGCAATAACATTGGTCTTAAGATAATGCCTGAGCACAAACAGAGGGATAAGGGAACACCCTAGTAAATACTAGTCATAACGAATAAGTTGTCAGACAATACTAAATATACAGTCTTGCGGTTTTTAGATCGGAAGGCGTGGTTAAAGAACAAAAACTCACATATGTCATGAAGCGTTAAAACAAATAATGTCATTTTATTTGCAATTACTGTCTTTTATCCGTGCATTCACGCGTCATGTGAAACGATTACTATAACAGTTTATACGTTGTGGGAAAATTTTAAAAAAGTAAGGCGTTCTATGTTATTTACATTTACAGATGGTTGCTATGTGAAAATTAGTGAAGGCGATATCTTCCTCTGCTCTTTCTCCAAGAATTTCATACGTCATATATTATATACACTTTATATCGCGTTCATGTCATTTTAGAATTCAAATAAAATTTCAAAAGGCCTACAAGTAACTGTATAGAAGGAAGTTACAGTGAACAGGATTGGTCACAACTTAGCACAAAGCACACAAAATTCGTTTGTCACATACTGGCAATCAGCAAATTAATATGTTTTTAAAACTAAGATTAAACAAGTCCATACCTTAGTCACAATCTACTATAGTGTATTATTTGCTTCCTAAAATTAAAATAACTGTTATTGATACAGTTATAGTCAACATTGATAAACACTTTAATCTGCAGATTACCTAAACTCTTTACCACTTTCCACAAAGTAGCGGTAACAAATCTATATGCTTGATTAATAAAAACATTTCACTATCTTTACTGTAGGGGCTAAAATATTGTGCTTTGTTTTATGATGATTATCTGCTAAGTGGCATTGAAAGGAATGCGTCAATCTGCAGATTTGAAGTCATTAATCACTTTCTATTTAGCATTTCGTGGAATATAAGAAGAATATCGCAGCATCGAAAGAAACAATGGACTGTCAACATGTACGTCATGTAGCATGCATGAATCCTGTCTTAGCATACAAGAATTAATGTGATAGCATACAAGAATCTCGTGGTATCACATACAAAGGTGTTTTGGTAGCATAGCCTGCCTGCATGCCTGCCTGCGTTGATGTAATTTGGTGTTATGAAGCTTTGATTGATAAGCCGTGTATTTAGCCATGCTTGATCGATGGTGTGGACAGGCTACGTCCTCTGGTATATTAGAAGGCGTCATCTTCTCAATAATCACACTTTTACATCACCCATCCAACCTATACTACCAGGACAACAAGCAAACAGGGGTGACTGTTTGGTGGGTCAGTACCCCCCCCCCCCCCCGGTCCCCATCAGGAGATGTAGCCTGAGATGGTGGGCGTATGGGTATATACCCTACATCAACCCATCTGGTATACACTGGGATAATGGTAAAATAGATGGGTAGGAAGGTGAAAGATAAACACATCTTCTGCTCCCCCCCCCCCCCCCCACCCAAAGCACAAGATAGAGACTGGAATGGAGCGTGGGTAGGTGAACGACCCTTTCCACCAGTATAGGTAGGCTTAGATAATGGGTGAGTGAGAGGGTGTGAATAGACACCCCATGTATACCTCCCCCCTCCCATCATCAAATTGAGACTTGGATGGTAGATGGATGGGTAGGCATATATAGAACCCAAATCCCGTTGATAGATTTAGTATTAAATGATGACTGCATGGCTGCTTAGTAGATCCTTATCCCATTATCCAAAGTAGATGTAGACTGGGGTAATTAGTGCATGACCATACCCCCCCCCCCCCATCAGCAGATGGAGCCTGAGATGGTGGATCGGTGAACTTAGACAACCCTCCCCCGTCGCTATATAGAGATTAAAGGTGATGTGGTGGGATGGTGCACATTAAGGGCGTGACTGACGGTTAGTGAATGGGGGGGGGGGGGTGGTTGAATGGCTATCAACCCCATTTCAAATTTTTGTCGGTTAACAAATTTAGAAATGTTGATGGTATTATGGTAAATTGCATGTCCTTAAGCCCTGCTGATGAATAACAAATTCTAAAGATGTTTTTCCTTCTTCTTCTTGCTTGATTGCTTGCCTGATAAATTTCTTTAATCCTCTACGATTAAACAAAATTCCCTGGTACCATTCTTACCATTGTCGGCAAACTGTAAATCTGAGGACGCTGTTTTTTGTTGTTGAAAATGTCGGTTTTCGCTTGACACCCCCCCCCTCCCCCATCTAATTTCAAACAGGAATAGCGAAGCCCCCCCCCCCCACCCCCTGAACACACACTCATCCACAAAACTTGCATAAAATACATAAAGCGACAAATGTGCCCCATTCTTGACAAGCAGTATATTTGAAGGGGTCAATAATACGATTTTTCACTTCTCTCCTGATAACGATGAGAAGGTAGCTAAGTCCACTGGCATTGTTAGCGCAATGAAGTACTCACAATATGAGTACCGCAATAGGTCATAGGCACCATATTTTTACAAACATCTGGTGATATCTAATGTTATATTTATATGAAAATAATAAGTTATGAAGAAAATGACAAGTTTCGCATGTGTACCCTTCCTATCTGCATTGTCCAAATAGTAAATACGAACAAAGTAAATGGCAAAATACAGTAACCTCTCTATAAAGGTCACCTGTCTATAATTATATAGTGGCCATCTTTTCTGTTTCCCATGGGTGATCCAATGCTTAAAACTTTCCAACATATCTTAATTCATGCGATGCCGCCAAAAGCATGACAAGAGAACAATTTTGTAAAATTAATCAGACTTACCTTCGCAGCTTAGTTCACAACAAGGCGACGCGCATTTCATTTCACAGTGACGTCGTGAATGGAACACAAGATGTATAGAGGAATAGTTTCGCGAGTTCTATATAGTGATGAACATTAATTACTGTCAAACCTATGGAGAATGTTTCCCCAAGTAGCTTAAAGTAGATTGCTGTCCTTTGCAAACTATTTTTTGCAGTAAAAATAGATCACAACTTCTATTTCTTATAGAGCTAGATTTGATACTAATAAGGCTCAGCTCACGCACTGCAGTAAAATGCTTTCATGCGATGTTCTAACTTGTGAATGTGAAAACCCCAAAACGGTCTATACAGGCGATGAGTGGTCGGAGTCTAACTTGGTCATATTTACCAGTATTTATGTTCTTTGAAATCAAATTAGGTTAACTTTACAGAAAAAATGTGAATCTGTGAAAGTCAATCAAATTACATTCATGCATCACTAACGATGTCCTCAAAATCTGGAATGGAGTCCTAAAAAAACAACAAAGGCACCCCTATTGTGAATATTGGAGGTAGCTGTGACGACACCTTCAAACTTGTGACTAGGCCAGCTCCCCGACTATTCCCTCAACAATCGAAATAAAGATGGTGACCTGTTTGACACAATAAAACTTTTTGAAAGTCGACAATCCAGGGGCTAACCTTTCAAACAGTGTCACTTTCTTGCAAAATTATTTTGATGGTTGGGTGTAAAAATCATGGAAATTTGAAATAGTTTTTTTTTCCTCGGTGCGACACTAATGCTTTCTTTGCATTCAATGTAAATAAAACAAAATATTACGTTTTGATGATGAATGCTGTAATCCGCATTTAAAACCGAATAAAATCTTGAGTTATGCAGTTGAAAAAATAATTATCTGTTCAGAAATGAGAGAGACGCCATAGAACATAATAAAACATTTCTAATTTGATGGAAGCAATTTTGCCATGCGGATAAAATGTTGGCGAATATTTGAACGGTGATCACAACTTACCTACCAAACTTTTGATGCTGCAAACTCATCACACGATTACTATTCCCTTCCTGCAAATCAGAATCCACCTTCCACTGCTCCCATATGTATTATCCTTTTGCATCCAGGTGCATACTCCCTTGGCGCACCAGCGAAAGTGAGCAAAGCGCGGGAAACAGGCGACAACAAATTATGTACCAGCAGACGACTGGGCCATGAACGTGCTCAGCGACAGAAAACAGTTTGCTCATATTGCTTTCGATAGCAAACGAGACTGTTCTTTAATACAGTTGCTTTCTTCAATTTGTCAACATTCCTGTTTAATTGTGGCCGTTATTCGATGAGGAAAAGGGGTCGAATTTGATTGCCCCCTTCTCTCTTTCGTTGTTGCTCCAAGATGGGACCTTTCCTTTGTATTTAAGAAAGTGGTGTTGATTTTAGGCTAAGCGTACGAAGGGCCCTTGCACTCTCGGGATCATTTGATACCAGTATTAAAATTGGTTATTGGATGGCGATAGGAGTTCAGATAAAATGAAGACATTCCGGGGCAGATTTCATGATTTTCTGTTTGTTATTGTTGAGGATATTTTGTGTTTGTTTATCAAAATACGCATACAGTAATGTGCACTCGTTTGGTTGTCATAACTGCCCCTGGGAGGTTTAGATGAATAACAGTAGCAAAACAGAATTACTCCATTCACATAAACATGACAAAGCATATGGAGGTTTTGAACGGCAAACCGAAACATTCTTCACTTCTTAAATCTTTTCCTGCCTTACTTATTATGCCCATATCCCGAAAAGAAATAGCGATGGGTTTACTCTATTTTGCTGTCTTTGTTTGATAACTCGTGAGCCCCCCCCCCCCCTCCCCCTCGTCGTTTTTTGTTTGGTACCCTTCCACATCACATGGTTTCTTTTATAATTATAATCATACACACCTTGATACTAATATATTCAGGGTGTCAATTCTTTTTATCTCTCGGCTTTTTCCTGCATTTCTATTCCTTAAGAAAGATATATTATCCTCTTGCAACCTAACAGGAACAACACCAGTGCTCAGAATAAATCGCTGTATCATCGAACCTCGCAATACCCCTTTAGAAGATGGGTAAAGTATTGTGTGCTGTAAAGCTAGCGTGTCAATATAGAGAACACTACATTTGTTTAATGGAACACCTCTAAAGTAAATATAGTCTATCGAATCAACCCTGACGGATGATAGTAGATAAAAGAAAACCCTTGAATAAATAGAGGACAAAAGAGATGATAGAGCAATGAATGAAGCACTGATTTTTACAGTTAGAATGAGACCAGCCAGGTTGTGAAATATAAAGCGCTTCAATTAAGAAATGCCCTAAAACGGTTTTATCTGTATCTTACAAGAGCATAGGTATATGAAATAGATAATTAATTTCAAAATTTGTATTACCATTTTACAAAAAACAAAAAATGCTGGTTCGTGCTTGGTTACACTCTTAGTAAAATAATGCCTCCATATCTACGGTAGATCGTGAAGAAATTACGGGGATGACCCAAAGCAAAATAGGTCCATAGTATTTCAAAATGTTACTATTGTATACAAGAGCAGACAATCTAATTGCATCTGGTCATTGGCGTGGACCGGGGGAGGGGGAGGGAGGAGGAGGAGGTGGAGGATTTGTAAAGAGGGTAAAAGATAACTAACTAATACTCCCCACATTGGACAGATACCATCAACTAATATTTACTTATCCTGGAAGACAGCTGCCCATTCTAGATAATACCCAACTTGGTAAATTATGATATTGTCCGGTTGTGACTGTCCGCGGCCCACTGTCCAGGCGACGGTCATTCAACACGGATTATGAAACTACAAAATCGACTTCTTAACTCTCATCACCTCCGAAATTTGATGAATGGACATTAGGGGTCATGAAAAGTTAAGGCATCAAGCCCTTTATATAGTTCGTGATATTCCTTAATTGATGAAGTTTTCAACACAATGGTCCCCATGAGAAATCGGATGCCCATATTTGAACGTCATGTTTACCTATTATAACCCTTTATACCAGTAATCAAATAGGATACGTGCTAAAGCTATTCAATTTGTCTAACTATTCAAACAATTGACACGATCTGATTATCAATGATGAAATTGTCTTTATTGACATTATAATAATAGACTTTTCTACAACTCCTCCCACTCCTATACATTTTTACAACATATCTTTTTCTCGTAAGAGAAGGGGAAAGAAGTAGTTCCCCCTCCCCTCCCCCACCACCTCAGATTTCTCAAAATTGCATAGCAAGCTCAAACTTTGTTTTTCGACGTAAATTCTGACGAGGAAGGTGAAATTTAAGTAAACAGTGATAAATATTGCACACGTTCATTCAATTCTCCGATAAAGTTAGAAATGGGACCCGTTGCTCACATCATATTTAAGTGCGTAATAATTTACAGATCCTGTTACTTCTCAAAATTCTCCTTTTACCTTCCCACAGCTTAACTGACAAATTATTCGCAGTCGACTTGGGATCTCTTGGACCATGCATGCCTGAAGTCTTAAATGGAATTGGATATCTTTCACCCTTTTCATGTTACGTTTCCAGGGGTGCCTCGGTAAGGTAGAGGTACCTAGGTAGGAATACTACAAAGACATTAGGTAAACATGAGGGTGAGTCATTGGTCTTCAAATAGAACTGAAAAGGTATACCAAGGGCATATTTACAGGGTGTACGCGGTGATGGAAGTAAGACTTCTTACGGGCAGGGGCGTAGCCTGGGTGGAGCTGTGGGGCTGAGGGGGGGGGGGGGAGCACTGGTTTCGGAGGCATTGTCTGACAAAAGGGGTGACTGTTGACAGAACAAGGTTTTCGAATTAGGAGAAAGTGTGAGAGGGGGTCGTGTCATCTTCACATCACCTCCAAATTTGCCTTCCTTTATCCCCTTGCTCTCTATATCGTCTCTTTTTTCCGGTCAGTCACTTCGGGCACGTACCCCCCCAACACCCCCGACCCCCCATGCTCACCCCAAAGTGGCTGTACCACACTACTTACGGATCAGTAGGAGGTCTAGAGTGTCTCTGGAGTAGTAATCAAACATTTTAAAACATCTTGTAATGTTCCACTTATGTTCCAGTGACGAACATGACCGGCGGGGTAAGGGCTCTGCGGTAACTTCTTCGTCGGGGTGGGGGGGGGGGGGGTGGGTTGAATATTTGTAATGTATATGAAAGGTCAAAGAAGGAGTAGGTCTAAGAAGGAGTAGTAGAAAGATTGAACCAAGATCATTAATAATTCATGCAAGAGGGTGGAGGACTTTGGTAGTATAACTGATTATCGGGATATTAAATATACATGGTATGAAAAGTAATTGACACGTCAAATTACAAAAAAGTGTTTTCCAAGCTATTCAAATTCATCAAGTAAAACTTTATTAAAACTGCATAATGGAATATTGTGCTTTTATAAAAGCAGTTATTTAAAAAAGTTAAATGGAACAAGACGCAATCCATAATAGTGACAAAATAACGGTTGGCTAGTGCCATCCTTGATAAGAAAATCCGTTTTCAGTCCAAATGAAATAAAATCTTCGATTATTCCTGTCAACTATTTGAGTGTTTGAGATCAAAATTATCGTCAAATAACTTTGATGTTAGACATGAGATGGCGCCCTCGAGTATAAAGGGACTCTAGCTTGTCGAGAAAAAAAAACAGTAACCCGAACTGTGCTCACTATACCTTTTTGAAGGAAAGCTCAAACAGTCCTCCAACTCTTGAATAATGATTTGATGCACAGAAAAAACAAACATGGTTGCCATTCAGAATGATTATAACTGCAATTAACTAGATTACGTGTGCATTTATGCACAATAAATGCCACATTGTGAACTTTAGACGAGATAAAGAGACATTAGATAACGTCAGAATGACCAAAATGAGGTTTAAGGTCCAAAGTTACCAATCATATTTGTATACAATGGGCAAAGAATAACCATCTTTAACCTAATACATGTAATAGCTTGACAATACATGAACCAGATTGTGTTGGTCTTTACTGAGTATAGGGCTCGTGTGCTTCGACATAATTATAAGACAGTTTTATGTATTAAAATAACTCATTTATCTGGTTATATTTCGTTTATTTACTTATTTATATATTTATCTATCTATTTATTCATTATTTATTTATTTATTTATCTATATTTAAAGAAATGATTCATGGTCTTCCACGAAGCCCAGTATGGTACAACACATATAAATATAAATAAAATGCAAACAAAGAAGGCTTTACCATTTTAAACAATAACATTGGCATTGATGACATGATTATCAATCAACGGTTAATTTTTAAAAAAATGCATTCCATAATATTCTTCGCTCCAAATTTATTTTCAATAAAAATTCAGCAGCCACTCTAATAACACAAACATCTCTATTTTGTATCCACATCTATTAATCAAAAACTAAATTTTAGACAAATTATTTGTCTCAAGAATATCATAATATCAGTAAGTATTAGTTAATATCAGTTAAGCCTACTTTTAAATTGCAAATCATTGCCAAAAATGTCCATTTCTTAATTGTAGCCCGGAATATCCACTATGGTTCTAGCCACTGTTTCTACATGTACATGTACATGTATCTAATGTTTCTGGCCACTTTAATATAACCAGTATTGGGGATGAAATCAGGCGAAGCGATCAGCTAATTATGCCGCCACTGGAGGGTGAAAGAGATGTAGATTTTCTTGCAAGTTCAAGGTTTCCGTCAGTGAGCCCTTAACACAGTGTTACCATTGCACCTGCAAGCTACGATTCCTCATGTGATTGCATCCGGCCAACATAGATGGTTACGCTGAAAGGTCGGGAGGGAATAAGGAAGGGTAAATCTAGGGGTGTGGGGGTTAAGGGGTGACATAACGTTTGATTACAGCAAGAGGATGGATATATTGGAAGGGAGATGGAGGGGTATATCTATGGACGATGAAGGATGTAATACCCATTTCATTACTGTGATAGCATCCAGACAACATCGATGGTTTCACTGAAAGGTCGGGAGGGGAAAAAGGAAGGGTAAATCTAGGGGTGTTGGGGTTGAGGGGTGACATAACGTTTGAATGACGATGAAGGGCGTAATACCCATTTCATTACTGTGCAAGCATCCA